ATACTGGGATGAGTGCTGGATAGATATTCAAACAAAGCTCGACTTGGACTGCCTTCGAGGGTTCTGTACTCCACAGAGAACTGCTCTATTACGTCATCAGTYAGGCCGAAGTGACGTCCCAGCTGACGCCATGTACCTTGTCCCTTGACGGACACATCCAGCATACGACCCGCTACATACTTTGTATCGTAATGAAGGTCTTTGAAGAGAGTTTTCTTCTCTTTTAAGAAAGAAGTGTCTTGATCTATAAARCATGCAACACGAGGTAATTTATTAAGCTTTGGCTATTTTATCGCAGCATGGGGCAGCCATAACAGTGCCAGGATCTAACTTGGTGAAAACCCAAAGATATTCTCACCTCTGGAGTCTTGGGTTCGATTCCTGGACTCGGCGGTTCGTTATGTGTTTTCCTTGATTTAATGGTCCTCCCACCCCCCACCCCCCGAGTTTTCCAGTTATATTCCCTCTGCAAAACCCAACACGCTAAGTTCCAATTTGTCCTGTGAGTTAGCCGTGCCTTTGATTTTGATCAACTCAGAGGCTGTTTCAAGCAGGGTTATAGATACATTTGAAGTCTGATGAATTTAGAGGGGTTCCGTCTAGGTCGTGATCTATATCCTGGGGGTACAGGGCATTCCTCTCCAGCTTCTTACCAGCCCCCCACCCTTCACCGGATAGTCGTACTTTACTTCAACGCGCCTTCGGCAAGTGCAAAATACTAGAAGGTAAACAATTCTGAATGACAAAATATATTTCACATCCAGCTCTTAAATAACTCACCTTGCTCATGAACATCAACAACGACGCACAAATCTTCCTAAAAAATGAATAAAAGAAACACATAAGCATATGAACATCGCGATTCTCCTAAAAGTTACCGCACGTGATTGGCTCATAGCATTTGATTGACTGCGAAATAGCACTTGTTTGGTATCCACGCCTGGCTTGTGAATGCAAAGGTTAAATAGGAATGTCAACATCTCTGACAGAAAAGTTGATTTTCTCCTCTTTTACAACTTTTATGACCCCAATTATTTCCTGACGATGTGATACAAGGATAATGGATATTACAAGCTATACTATCTTGCACTTTATGCTACAGGTAAGTGAAAAATATTGTACGAATGGTTTTTCTTTACATGTAAGGCTACGCCGGTGACTTCGAAGAAAATTTGATTAAATTAAATTGCAAAGAACTTGTATAATCAATTATTATATATTATGGTTTGCGTTAAAATATTCTATACACTAAATAATAACCTTTTTAGGAAAAAATAAGCTGACTTCGGTTTCGTAAACTCGAAAAGCTTTACTGAATACTTGAGCGTGGCACATGGTAACTAGAAATGTTTTACAATCCATTATAGGATGTAAGGAATGAAGTATAACAAGAAAGGAAATAAAAATACTGTTAACAGTTCAAGCAATAAGATTCTTTTAAACTTCATGTAATTTTTTATTTATTACTGACATAGTAGAATGTTGATGAAAACAAAGTTTTCAAAAACGTCGGGCGTCCATTTTCTCAAACTTTCCAAACATCGTTGCTAGGGAGACGACAGTGTTAGGTCGTGAGAATCTCAAGCAAATCAGGATCGCAATCCTTGCTTTTTCCTTTATTTTTGAATATGAATTTTCACGACTATGGCCAATACGGAATGTGTTTTCTCCCAACTAGCCGCCAATATAAACCGTATTGGTGGCTCAAAATCGTAATGAGTTATAAAAGAATGACATTAAGATATGAAGAATGAAGAGACTAAGAGAGGAAGTCAAATTCAAAGACATACCTCTGGCACAAAAGTGAACGCTGGTATGATGATTTCACTTTCTGCAACGTTGATTTTGAATTTACAGCTGAATTTCTCAGCACGTCTTTTAACGCGACGAAACACGGCTTGAAAGCTTGGTATGCAGAAGTATGACTCCTTGCAAATAGAGCTGGAGATGGCCTGAAAATACAAACTATAATTCTTAACAAACGTTTGTCAAAAAATATTTCATTTTAACTACATTCCTTAGGCTGATTTAGAGAATGCAGCCTTTAGAAATGAGATTGCGGTGTTACAGACTAAGANCTTAAATAACTCACCTTGCTCATGAACATCAACAACGACGCACAAATCTTCCTAAAAAATGAATAAAAGAAACACATAAGCATATGAACATCGCGATTCTCCTAAAAGTTACCGCACGTGATTGGCTCATAGCATTTGATTGACTGCGAAATAGCACTTGCTTGGTATCCACGCCTGGCTTGTGAATGCAAAGGTTCAAATAGGAATGTCAACATCTCTGACAGAAAAGTTAATTTTCTCCTCTTTTACAACTTTTATGACCCAAATTATTTCCTGACGATGTGGTACAAGGATAATGGATATTACAAGCTATATATCTTGCACTTTATGCTACAGGTAAGTGAAAAATATTGTACGAATTTGTTTTTCTTTACATGTAAGGCTACGCCGGTGACAAAGCAATCCCTGCTTTTTACTTTATTTTGGCGACTATGGCCAATACGTAATATATTTTCTCCCACTACAAGCCGCCAATATRAACCCGTATTGGTGACTCAAAATCGTAATAAGTTATAAATGAATGACATTAGAATATGAAGAATGACAATACTGAMAAGACGAAGTCAAATTCAAAGACATACCACAGGTACAAAAGTGAACGCTGGTATGATGATTTCACTTTCTGCAACGTTGATTTTGAATTTGCAGCTGAATTTTTCAGCACGTCTTTTAACGCGACGAAACGCGGCTTGAAAGCTTGGTATGGAGAAGTACGACTCCTTGCAAACCGAACTGGAAATGGCCTGAAAATACAAACTATAATTGTTAACAAACGGTTGTCAAAGAATATTTAATTTTAACTAAATTCCTTAAGGCCGGTACGATTTTCGCCTAAAACTATCGTATACGACACGCTCGCGCCATCCTACRACTCGAGTCGTAGCGTGTAAATCAAGCCTACAACTCGCCTACGCGGACAGACGTGAGCGTGTTGTATACAATGGTTGTAGGCGAAAATCGTACCGTCTAAATCGGCCTTTAGGCTGATTTTGAAAAACGCAGCCTTTAGAAATAAGATTGCGGTGTTACAGACTAAGAGCATGCGCAGATACGTTCCCATCCCAAGAGCCTTTGTTGCCAAATTTTTTAAAAAGTATTTCAGTAATACATTACCTTTGGGCTTAGGCGATCCAGTTCCCAGCCATCCAACAAACCCTCGACATTTAGGTTGATGTCAACTGAACTGTGACAGTCAACAAATGCAGCGTAGAAAGAACCAAGCATGGAAAAGCCCTTTAGGGAATTTTCTTTCAAAACATTCTGAAAACAGCAATATCAAAATGGCTTAGCTTTTCCTTTTATTGCGTCTTTCATTGCGTCTCTCGCTGTACCTTTCCCTGTGCTTTTAATTGCGACTTTCGTTACCACTATTTGTTGTTATCACTTTCGATGCGGTTTACGTTGCGACTTAAGTTGCCGATGTTGCTGTTTCTCTTTTTGCCTTTGACGTTGCGCACTTTCGTAGCGCTTTACATTGCGCCATTGACGTTGCGCACTATCGTAGCGCTTTACATTGCGCCTTTCATTGGAATTTTCGTAGCGCCTTACATTGCGCCTTTGACGTTGCGCACTTTCGTAGCGCTTTACATTTCGCCTTTCATTAGCACTTTTGTTGCGCCTTTCCTTGGCACTCAGATTGCGCACTGGCATTGACGTCTTGTTGTAAGTTTCATTTCACCTTTTATTACGCCTTTCGTTGTCACTCAGGTTGCGCCCTTTAATTGCGCCTTTTGTTGCGCGGACAAAGTGTATTTTTTTCCGTAGAAATCTCGTRTTTTTTTAATGCAGACACGTGGAAATACATGACCCCACAATAGCAGTCTCAACGAAAAGCACATCGAGCTTGTACACACAAGACAAAAAAGATCCCACRTACCTGAAATGAAGTTTCGTCATCATCAAGAAGATGGATACACACTTCAAACAGGTCACTTATCATCTCACTCGTGGTAAACAACACGAACTGCATTCTCTTCTTCGCTCCTTTCAGTGGCTTTCCAACAACAGCATAGGTAAGCAGTGTATCAGTATGAAAGCTTACATCTTTCCAATTTACTTCCAAACCATCAGTTATTCTTTCCCATTTTGCTTCTTTTATCCCCTTTCTTTCATCCATGCAGAGGACATCAATGTCCCAGTTTTTGTGTTCGGAATTCCAGAGAGCGCTGTGAGGCAGGCTTATCTTGACTAATTCTTCGAATTTCTCTCCTTTAGAATAAAACCTATATATTGGACTTAGAAATAATTGCCCTTGCTTGATGCTTTTAAAATTACCGTTCAAATGTTTATCGCTCAAAGGTTCGACTATCAGGTTCTTGTATCGATCTTGTTTGCAGTCTGGATCGTATTTTATGACAACACCGCATGTGAATGAATATTTACCAATATTGACGTCGTTTTTCGACCAATCTTCTAGCTCATCTGATTGGTCACTTTTACACCTATCAGGAATGTCTATTCTTTTCGATAGCCTCATAGGTGGAATTTGAAAGCATTGCGCTCCTGAGTTCTTCCTTGTGCGTTTGATTATAAAACCTAATGTTATGAAGATCATTAAAGTACATAAGGAAATTACTAAGAAAAGATATATATCCAATTCTTTCCACCCATGTTTTCTTGACTGTTTATTTTCATTTCTTGCATGAGTTCTGTTAGAAATGCCAAATATATTACTACCAGTCTTAGTTGCAAATAATTTAGTTGTGGGGAAATCGTAAGGAAGTCGTTTTTCAACGCTTTGAGTTGCATTTTCATTATCGACGTTTTTCAAGCAACGGTGAAAACTATGGACACTGCAGAGTTTTTTGCTTTGGGATCCCTGTGTTGCACATTCATCAATTTTGATATCTTTGCCGTCGTCACAGCAACTAGAACATGGGAGGCATTCTAAGACGATTTCTGAGAAGTAAAAACCTTTTTTGCAGTGAGACATTCTTGGTATGCACTGGGTATCTGTTGTCGGTGAACATTTACGACTTACTACTAATCCTCGTTCGCATCGTTTGCAACGTGTACAGGAAGATCGTGAATAGGAATCAGAGTAGGTCCCATTTGGACAGGGGGAACATCTGCTCTTGAACATATCTTTTATGAAGATTATCGAGCCACATGGAAAATAGGGTCGTTGACCGGCTGGACAAGGCTCACATGGCATACATCCAATAATGTCCCCGTCYCTTCTTTTTACCTTGATGCTTTCTATACCACATTTATCGACCACGATTTCGATTGACTGAAATTTGGAAAAAAAAAAAAAGAATGCTGATACTTGCTTCATGTTGCTTGTGATAATATAATATAAAATAAAATAAAAGTATTCGTACCTTACATTTGCAGTCTTGTATTATCAGAAGGAAGCAGAGCATAATAGAGAATTTATGCACCATTATCGCCTAGCTTCAAATACAAATCCTTCAGGGATTTTTTTATGTGTGCAGGTATCGGATTCCTGGCTCTACGGCTATCCTAAAACGAGAGAGAGAGAAAACCTTTATCATGCTCCTATGGGGTCACTCCTATGCAGTCTATGGAGCTAGTGTAGTCTCGCAACGCTTATAACCCAGCTAGAAATGTCATATGAGGTCACGGCAGCCCAAGCAATACATTTGTGGTGTGTATGATAGCATTTGGGTAGCATTTACAGTAAATTTTTATTTTATATTTTTATTTACATAACATTATCCATGACAAGTTACAAAGCTATCATCTAAGGGCTTAGCAGAACAGAGCTTGGCTCCAAATTAAGTGCACCCTAGCAAAACATTATATAATAACAACAAAAAGCAAATAATGATAAACTCTAAGTGAAGAAATCAAGTGAAGATTTACCAATTATCACTTAGATGATAGTAGCTAATTTAAAGGCTAAGAGTATGGCAAAAAGTAGTCCGATCTATTCATTGATGATATAAGTAATTTTTTAGTTTAAGTGGCAGTTTAAGATAAGAATATCAGTAGATCAGTAGATTGAAGATCTAGGATTTATTAATCGAAATTATTAGTAGATCATTAAAGTTCATTGTTCAGTTGATTGTTCTTCGAAGTAGACTGGATACAGACTAATTAAATTAGAAGCAGCAAAGTTTTTGGAGAGGATATCACGTGGTGAACAGCACTTAGGACAGATGGACTTCCATGTGATGACATTATTGACATCAAGATGCTCTGCTAAAGCAGATAAGTAGTGTGACCTGATTCCTGAACTGATTGACTGAAGTAAAGGTGCGGATTGGAATTGGGCAGATTGTTCCACCCGAGGGGGGGGGGGTACTCCCCTATATTTGCTATACGGGTATGTGCCGCCCTGCTACTTTGACAATGTGATGGCGAAATTTATCGTCAATAAGAGGACAGACACATAAAAATCTGATGTCAATTTGTTAAGTTGACGTCAGCTTTATAGGGCGGCACGTCAGCTTTATCTGTCTGTCTTCCGGCTTATTGATGATAAAAAATAACCAATCAGCACGCGAGAAATTYGTAAGTTATTGTAAAAAATTGAATTGATGTAAGCCCAGGTAAGGCTTGATCTCTTCTAGGGTGCAGCTGTATCTTGTGAAGGCAGAGAAAAAGAATTCGTTGCTCTGCTTTATCATTTGGAGAAGTAAAACTTATCTTCTTGTATTTGATACATTTACATTGGTCAATTTTCAGTTAATGTATTATCAAGAAAATACCCTGAAAAAGACTCTGCCAGCAGGGTTGTAGTCTTAAAAAGACATGCAACACCCCTTCAAAAAATTTTGAACATGCCTTGCTCCTGTGTCGTAGTTAATTGTAATACGAATTCGATGAATACACATTCCTCGACTTCATATCCGATAAAATTAGAGAGATAAAGTGCAATATTCACCACCAAATCACGGGTTTTAGTGGAAAATACGAATCGTCCCCATACATCTCTTCTGATAGTCTCCCTCGCATCCGTTTTTAGTGTCGTTGGTCACGCAACTCTTGTGACGACTTGTTTTGTTTGCCGTCTGGCAATCCCTAGATGCATTGCGCGAAACGCAGGATCAAATTATCCTCAACAAAATAACAAAGAACTGAACAGAGTAGGTTTTAAGGTGGCTGGACCTCCTCACGCTTGACCGCTACCTTCACACAGTTGTGACAAACGTCCCACGTTTGAATAAAAAAAATATTGTGAATATATAGCTCTGAAATATTAAGAGCGGCTGTCCGTAAAAACCAGACATTAGGTGGCAACAGTCAAAAAATCGATTTGGTTCATACTTTGAAGTTAGATACCCTATCTTATAACAATAATCCCTGTGCACTTGGTTTTAAAAAATTCTTTTTTGTTCGGGGGAAATTTGAATTTTTATGCAGATAGGCAAATATACTAATTTGACGACTCTGAAATTGAGATAAATCACCGATCTCGTGTACGAAATACAATCA